TGGGTCGCTAAACTTTTGGGTCGCTAAACTTTTGGGTCGCTAAACTTTTGGGTCGCTAAACTTTTGGGTCGCTAAACTTCTGGGTCGCAAAACTTTTGGGTCGCTAAACTTCTTGGTCGCTAAACTTTTGGGTCGCTAAACTTTTGGGTCGCTAAACTTTTGGGTCGCTAAACTTTTGGGTCGCTAAACTTTTGGGTCGCTAAACTTTTGGGTCGCTAAACTTTTGGGTCGCTAAACTTCTGGGTCGCAAAACTTTTGGGTCGCTAAACTTCTTGGTCGCTAAACTTTTGGGTCGCTAAACTTTTGGGTCGCTAAACTTTTGGGTCGCTAAACTTTTGGGTCGCTAAACTTTTGGGTCGCTAAACAACTTGTATTACATAACACATTCGTCTTTCTATACTGTTACATACATACATCAGTCAGCCAAACAAAAGCACGAATGTTCCGCCATACTCCGGGCTTAAAAATTTTTTTAATACAGAACTTTGGGAGAAACATTTTAATACAGAACTTTGGGAGAAACATTTTAATACAGAACTTTGGGAGAAACATTTTAATACAGAACTTTGGGAGAAACATTTTAATACAGAACTTTGGGAGAAACATTTTAATACAGAACTTTGGGAGAAACATTTTAATACAGAACTTTGGGAGAAACATTTTAATACAGAACTTTGGGAGAAACATTTTAATACAGAACTTTGGGAGAAACATTTTAATACAGAACTTTGGGAGAAACATTGTAATACAGAACTTTGGGAGAAACATTTTAATACAGAACTTTGGGAGAAACATTTTAATACAGAACTTTGGGAGAAACATTTTAATACAGAACTTTGGGAGAAACATTTTAATACAGAACTTTGGGAGAAACATTTTAATACAGAACTTTGGGAGAAACATTTTAATACAGAACTTTGGGAGAAACATTTTAATACAGAACTTTGGGAGAAACATTTTAATACAGAACTTTGGGAGAAACATTTTAATACAGAACTTTGGGAGAAACATTGTAATACAGAACTTTGGGAGAAACATTTTAATACAGAACTTTGGGAGAAACATTTTAATACAGAGCTTTGGGAGAAACATTTTAATACAGAACTTTGGGAGAAACATTTTAATACAGAGCTTTGGGAGAAACATTTTAATACAGAACTTTGGGAGAAACATTTTAATACAGAACTTTGGGAGAAACATTTTAATACAGAGCTTTGGGAGAAACATTTTAATACAGAACTTTGGGAGAAACATTTTAATACAGAACTTTGGGAGAAACATTTTAATACAGAACTTTGGGAGAAACATTTTAATACAGAACTTTGGGAGAAACATTTTAATACAGAACTTTGGGAGAAACATTTTAATACAGAACTTTGGGAGAAACATTTTAATACAGAACTTTGGGAGAAACATTTTAATACAGAACTTTGGGAGAAACATTTTAATACAGAACTTTGGGAGAAACATTTTAATACAGAGCTTTGGGAGAACATTTTAATACAGAACTTTGGGAGAAACATTTTAATACAGAACTTTGGGAGAAACATTTTAATACAGAACTTTGAGAGAAACATTTTAATACAGAACTTTGGGAGAAACATTGTAATACAGAACTTTGGGAGAAACATTGTAATACAGAACTTTGGGAGAAACATTTTAATACAGAACTTTGGGAGAAACATTGTAATACAGAACTTTGGGAGAAACATTGTAATACAGAACTTTGGGAGAAACATTTTAATACAGAGCTTTGGGAGAACATTTTAATACAGAACTTTGGGAGAAACATTGTAATACAGAACTTTGGGAGAAACATTGTAATACAGAACTTTGGGAGAAACATTGTAATACAGAACTTTGGGAGAAACATTTTAATACAGAACTTTGGGAGAAACATTGTAATACAGAACTTTGGGAGAAACATTTTAATACAGAACTTTGGGAGAAACATTGTAATACAGAACTTTGGGAGAAACATTGTAATACAGAACTTTGGGAGAAACATTGTAATACAGAACTTTGGGAGAAACATTTTAATACAGAACTTTGGGAGAAACATTGTAATACAGAACTTTGGGAGAAACATTTTAATACAGAACTTTGGGAGAAACATTTTAATACAGAACTTTGGGAGAAACATTGTAATACAGAACTTTGGGAGAAACATTTTAATACAGAACTTTGGGAGAAACATTTTAATACAGAACTTTGGGAGAAACATTTTAATACAGAACTTTGGGAGAAACATTTTAATACAGAGCTTTGGGAGAACATTTTAATACAGAACTTTGGGAGAAACATTTTAATACAGAACTTTGGGAGAAACATTTTAATACAGAACTTTGAGAGAAACATTTTAATACAGAACTTTGGGAGAAACATTTTAATACAGAACTTTGGGAGAAACATTGTAATACAGAACTTTGGGAGAAACATTTTAATACAGAACTTTGGGAGAAACATTGTAATACAGAACTTTGGGAGAAACATTGTAATACAGAACTTTGGGAGAAACATTGTAATACAGAACTTTGGGAGAAACATTTTAATACAGAACTTTGGGAGAAACATTTTAATACAGAACTTTGGGAGAAACATTTTAATACAGAACTTTGGGAGAAACATTGTAATACAGAACTTTGGGAGAAACATTGTAATACAGAACTTTGGGAGAAACATTGTAATACAGAACTTTGGGAGAAACATTTTAATACAGAACTTTGGGAGAAACATTTTAATACAGAACTTTGGGAGAAACATTTTAATACAGAACTTTGGGAGAAACATTGTAATACAGAGCTTTGGGAGAAACATTTTAATACAGAACTTTGGGAGAAACATTTTAATACAGAACTTTGGGAGAAACATTTTAATACAGAACTTTGGGAGAAACATTGTAATACAGAACTTTGGGAGAAACATTTTAATACAGAACTTTGGGAGAAACATTGTAATATAGAACTTTGGGAGAAACATTGTAATACAGAACTTTGGGAGAAACATTGTAATACAGAACTTTGGGAGAAACATTTTAATACAGAACTTTGGGAGAAACATTTTAATACAGAACTTTGGGAGAAACATTTTAATACAGAACTTTGGGAGAAACATTGTAATACAGAGCTTTGGGAGAAACATTTTAATACAGAACTTTGGGAGAAACATTTTAATACAGAACTTTGGGAGAAACATTTTAATACAGAACTTTGGGAGAAACATTGTAATACAGAACTTTGGGAGAAACATTGTAATACAGAACTTTGGGAGAAACATTGTAATACAGAACTTTGGGAGAAACATTTTAATACAGAACTTTGGGAGAAACATTTTAATACAGAACTTTGGGAGAAACATTTTAATACAGAACTTTGGGAGAAACATTTTAATACAGAACTTTGGGAGAAACATTGTAATACAGAACTTTGGGAGAAACATTTTAATACAGAACTTTGGGAGAAACATTTTAATACAGAACTTTGGGAGAAACATTTTAATACAGAACTTTGGGAGAAACAGTGTAATACAGAACTTTGGGAGAAACATTGTAATACAGAACTTTGGGAGAAACATTGTAATACAGAACTTTGGGAGAAACATTTTAATACAGAACTTTGGGAGAAACATTTTAATACAGAACTTTGGGAGAAACATTTTAATACAGAACTTTGGGAGAAACATTGTAATACAGAACTTTGGGAGAAACATTGTAATACAGAACTTTGGGAGAAACATTGTAATACAGAACTTTGGGAGAAACATTTTAATACAGAACTTTGGGAGAAACATTTTAATACAGAACTTTGGGAGAAACATTTTAATACAGAACTTTGGGAGAAACATTGTAATACAGAACTTTGGGAGAAACATTGTAATACAGAACTTTGGGAGAAACATTTTAATACAGAACTTTGGGAGAAACATTTTAATACAGAACTTTGGGAGAAACATTTTAATACAGAACTTTGGGAGAAACATTGTAATACAGAACTTTGGGAGAAACATTGTAATACAGAACTTTGGGAGAAACATTGTAATACAGAACTTTGGGAGAAACATTTTTATACAGAACTTTGGGAGAAACATTTTAATACAGAACTTTGGGAGAAACATTTTAATACAGAACTTTGGGAGAAACATTGTAATACAGAGCTTTGGGAGAAACATTGTAATACAGAACTTTGGGAGAAACATTTTAATACAGAACTTTGGGAGAAACATTGTAATACAGAACTTTGGGAGAAACATTTTAATACAGAACTTTGTAACAAGGGTTCTTTCTCACGTGTATACAAAGTTGATGCTTATATAGTTATGAGAGTTCGCTCACCTAAATGAAAGTGAAAAGGTCACACTCACGTCACTCACGTCACTCACGTCACTCACGTACATACAGTGCCTACAAAAGTTGCCTACAAAGGCCGATATTGAAAGTTTTAAGTTGCCTACAAAGGCCAATATAGAAAGTTTTAAGTTGCCCACAGAAGGCCGATATTGAAAGTTTTAAGATGTTGTTTCTCTGTGATATTGTTAGCATAAGAGAGAGATCTAGTGTTTCCATGGAAACGATCACAACAAGACATTCTAGTCGAACTGGTATTCTCACAAACATTTTTCTCCAGACGGGTGGGGGGGGGGGGGGGGAAGACACTCGAATTTTATTTTAATCTTTTCCTATTTCGTCGGGGGGGAGGGGGGGGGAAGGAATGACGCCCCCGGCTAATGTGCCAGAAAGAAACTCTGTACCCATGTACACACCGTTAAAACCTGGCTTGCTGGAGATATTAAGAGTTATTGGCCTTTAAAACTGAATCGAGGCCCGCAGGTAATCCGCTGAGGCCAGAACAAATGATCTTTTGTAGCGTACAACTGTAGCGTGTGATGACGCAGCTTGCTGGAGGGGGGGGGGGGGGGGCAACCAGAGCCGAGCTGCTCCCATCTAACGCCGCCTTATCTGCCGCTGAGTTGTTCTCACACAAGGTTTTTGTCTCACCGCGCGGCCCTCTAGCACGATACCTCACTAGCAGACGGCTTGACTAGCAGACGTTACTTACAGCAAGTTGACACACACGGAACAACATCACACATGTAAGTATAGGCTACTCATCCATTCAAATATATACCTGCATATATACATGTAGGAATACATATACGTGTATAGATATATTCATTCTTACATCAATGTATACTTACATATATATATATATATATATATATATATATATATATATATATATATATATATATATATATATATATATATATATATATATATATATACATTTCATCACGATTTACTATTGTCAAATTGTTGTTTATGTGACATTCAGATTTTTAAAATACTCGACTTCGATTAGCGTATATATATATGTATAGGCATAGGTATAGGGCAGGGGTCGGCCACCTGCGGCTCTTTTGTCGTCCAGTATACGGCTCTCCAGCTCTTTGCACAAATATTATATCATTTCATTTTTACTGGACGGTGGGTTACGACTTGACCCTGCGTTCAGTGCGATGGAAGATAAGTCTGGTGAGAACCAAAGGATAGAAGCGAACTATGCCAGTTATTCACACCGATATCCAAGCCAGTTAGTCGGCGTTTGCATTGTTGAGGCCTGACTGGCTAATGGAAGACACCTCCTGAGCCGGTGATATCCGTAAAGAAAAAATAAAATAATAAACCGGGAGTGATCTCCCCTAAACTTTCTCGAATATTCTTATATAACTTGGAATATAGACATGATTTTTAATTACTTAAACTTTTAAAAATAGAATCTCATAGAAAAAAGAATTGCGCACCAAGCGAATGCCTAAACAAAATGTGCATAATAGTGCGCAATATTATTAGTACTTTATAAATTTACATGCGTTTTTTGAGAAATCGGAAATAGCGTAAATTAGTACTTCCGGTCAACGGAAATTACTCAAAATTTGAAAAAAGATAGAGCATTAGATCATTTACGTACTTGTGAAATTTCATTTATCTATCTGAAATAGTACTCAAGTTATAGGCTTTTGAAAATTCAAAGTAGAAAAAGTACCACTTCCGGTTATCGGAAATCGCTCAAAAGTTGATCAGGATCTACGATTTTAATAAAATACTTATATATGAAATTTCATCAACCTAGCTGTAACGGTACTCAAGTTATCGTGTTTACACAGACAGACAGACACACAGACAGACACACAGACATACGGACAAGATTGCAAAATTATGTTTTTCCGTATCAGTGAGGTGTAAAACGTCGAGATTTGTAAAAATCTCGATTTTTTTTGTGCACGATTGCAAGACTTTCTCTATACTTATACGTATATACGAGAAAGTAAAAATGAACAGCTTCTAAAGTGAATTGAGATAGTCCTAGAATAATATTATTTGATTACTAATTTTACTATTCTGGCGAAACATGTCTATGTTTTTATATGAATAAATATTGTTTCATATTTAAAGCTATTAATTTTAAATAACAAATCATATATATATATATATATATATATATATATATATATATATATATATATATATATATATATATATATATATATATATATATCGCGAGAGAGACCGAGAGCGAGAGAGAGAGAGCGAGAATCAATTGACAGGTGATAGTTTGCTAGTAAATCAAGACAACACAGGATTATCTTCCCCTCATTCACGTACACTGTACACCCAACAAGTCCTATCCCACATCGCCACATCGCCACATCGCCACATCGCCACATCGCCACATCGCCACATCGCCACATCCAGGCGCTTGTTACTCCATTCGCTGGCCACTGGAGCCATTGACGACTCTTTCATTGATGACTCTTTCATTGATGACTCTTTCATTGATGACTCTTTCATTGATGGCTCTTTCATTGATGACTCTTTCACTTGGGACTCTTTCATTGATGACTCTTTCACTGGGGACTCTTTCATTGATGACTCTTTCACTGGGGACTCTTTCATTGATGACTCTTTCACTGGGGACTCTTTCATTGATGACTCTTTCACTGGGGACTCTTTCATTGATGACTCTTTCACTGGGGACTCTTTCATTGATGACTCTTTCATTGATGACTCTTTCATTGATGACTCTTTCATTGATGACTCTTTCATTGATGACTCTTTCCGTACTCCCCTCCGTAATAGTGTGTAGGGGGTGGGGGCGGTACTGTCCGATACAAGAGATATTTTCACAGCCCAACTTGTGCAGCTACTGAGCGAGTATTTCCTCCTGTGACCTGCCGCTCAAGTGGGCACCCCGCCTATACACGAACGTCCTACAGTCACGTAGGCCTAACAGCGAGTCCATTCATTCACCCCCGGGTTTTTACTTCACCCCCGGGGTTGTATTTTTGCGATCAGTCCACAGCTTCAAGTGACTTGTATGAGGGAGGGGACATTTTTTTTTACACCGCCATTGGGCTTGGGCTTGGGCTTGGGGTTGGGGTTGGGGTTTGGTAAATGACGCAGCGAAGGAGATTCTAAATGAAATAAAATTTAGAAAATTTTGGACATTTTGTAGCCCGTTAAAAATTTCTTCCCAAATATGAATTGTTGAATTATATTGAACACAGGACAAAAGGTGACCATGGAACAATGACGTCACAAATTGTATATTTAACATCTGGTCTCACTCCCAGCTGGCTAATTAATTAGTCCGTCCACGTCACATCAATTAGTGTACCACGTGACCTCAAGTGTTTTATTGAAGGCGTCATCAAGCGTCAGTCACACGGTTGGCAACTGTGGACACACTTGGACACACGTGGACACTCGTGGACACAGTCGACCGGTCAACCTATTGTTTCTTGAAAATGGCAAGAGGAGTTTTGTTTTTTCTGGTGATTTTACTGCGAGAGTCGGGGTCGGCCACACTGGGTAAGTTTTGTCAGCTGTTCTCGTCTAGTTTGGTCAGCTGTTCTCGTCTAGTTTGTCAGCTGTTCTCGTCTAGTTTGTCAGCTGTTCTCGTCTAGTTTGGTCAGCTGTTCTCGTCTAGTTTGGTCAGCTGTTCTCGTCTAGTTTGTCAGCTGTTCTCGTCTAGTTTGTCAGCTGTTCTCGTCTAGTTTGGTCAGCTGTTCTCGTCTAGTTTGTCAGCTGTTCTCGTCTAGTTTGTCAGCTGTTCTCGTCTAGTTTGGTCAGCTGTTCTCGTCTAGTTTGTCAGCTGTTCTCGTCTAGTTGCTTCAATTTCAGTTGAATTGGTCCTTAAAGCTGGTGGTTGAAAACCAATGAATGAAGTCTAAAAATAGCCCCTGTTTAAACAGTGGTGTCGCTGGAGATAACGTCAAGACGACCTTATCAATAGTTTATGTTGCAAGACATCCGCTCTCAGCATCAGGGGGGGGGGGGGCTGGTGATAGGATACGTTAATGTCTGCAGGACTAATTGTTCCCCCTGACTGTCTGCAGGACTAATTGTTCCCCCTGACTGTCTGCAGGACTAATTGTTCCCCCTGTCTGTTTGCAGAACTAATTGTTCCCCCTGTCTGTTTGCAGAACTAATTGTTCCCCCTGTCTGTTTGCAGGACTAATTGTTCCCCCTGTCTGTTTGCAGAACTAATTGTTCCCTCTGTCTGTTTGCAGAACTAATTGTTCCCCCTGTCTGTTTGCAGAACTAATTGTTCCCCCTGTCTGTTTGCAGAACTAACTGTTCCCCCTGTCTGTTTGCAGAACTAATTGTTCCCCTGTCTGTTTGCAGAACTAATTGTTCCCCTGTCTGTTTGCAGAACTAACTGTTCCCCCTGTCTGTTTGCAGAACTAATTGTTCCCCCTGTCTATACTGATCACATAGCCTCAAAAATGTTTCAGAGAGAGAGAGAGAGAGAGAGAGAGTTAGAGAGAGAGACATAGAGAGAGAGGTGCGTACATGAGCTTTTATATATTAGGATTCCAACATTATACAACGTTGGTCATTACCGTTGAATGGTAAAAAGATAGAAATTCATATAATGAATTGCACTAAGATATACCCATTGGTCGGAATACTAGCCCCACCCTAGGGGAGTCTAGTCTGTCTGACATCTTATATGTCGGCACTAGCCAACTTTCACTTTGGAGCCCTAACACCCTCCCCCAGATAACACCCCCCCTCCCCCTCCCCCACCTAACACCCCCCCTCCCCCTCCCCCACCTAACACCCCCACCTTATAACAACCTCCATCCCCGAGCATCCTCCTAACAGGTATAGAGACGAACAAGGGAAATGAGATTTAAATAGGCCGAGAGTGACGTCATTTCCTCCATAGATTACGACAATCCGCTGTCTAGCAGACGACAAATTAACAGGGAATTAAATCTTATCAGAACACATTTTTAATGGGCTAGTAATGGCTAACAAATGTCAAATGATGGCCAACAAATGTTTCTTCTTCTTCTTCTTTCTTAATTTTGGTGTTGGAAGCGATCCCCTCCATCACAATTAAGTATACGTGTCAACTGGTTATGCGCCATTGAGGCCATTGATTCCGATTTCAGCCTGCTTTTCTTTTTGGATTTGCTTCCATAGCCTTTGTCCAACCAAGAACAAACAACAAGACAGCAGTTGTTTAATTTTGGAGTTGTCTCTCCTAGAAGAGTGGCTGTCCCCAGCTAACGAACCTCATCTGCCCGAGAACATGTTTAATGATGACCAACATATGTTTAATGTTGGCCAACCAATGTTTAATGATGGCCAACCAATGTTTAATGATGGCTAACAAATGTTTAATGATGGCCAACATATGTTTAATGATGGCCAACATATGTGTAACAACATGTATTCTTTGTTGTTGTGGGTTTCATACAGGAACACGAGCAACAGTGGCTGTGAAACAATAACTTTATTTACACTTTGTACAGAGAATTAATAGATCCATAGTAAATCCATGGTCACAACTGGTATAAGTACAATCACAGTCAAGAAACAAAGTGTCGTAGTAACATCCTACATTCACAGCCACAGTCCTCAGGTTCAAGTTCTAGCACACAACACCCGTTCACCTTTCGCTCTCCCTTTTATTCACTACTTTCTCTCCCCTTACGTACAATGAGCGATCTCACCCAAAAGCATGGACAAACACATGACGATCGCTCAGACAGTCCTTCCGCTAGCCAGGTACTCTTCATTCATGCAAAACACAATATAATAAGGATACATAATTATACAGTCTGTGACACGTCCCCCCTTCAATTAAAATTTTGTGTAACAAAATTTATAAATACAATATTGGTAGGGCAGGATCATGTGCCAGACAACAAAATTTTTATGCATCTCAAAAACATGGAAAAATACATTCTTTGTAGACTAATGCACAAGCATTATGTGTAATGTATTCAAATATGAGAAAGAAAAACATTTCAATTACCAAGTAATTGTATAAACAAGACAAATGAGTTTAGTGAATTACCAAACTATAATACATAGTTGAAATTATCAAAGACTTAATTCAACTCATGAATTAAATAATTATATCCTATGTAGTAAAAAAAACTTCCTTATCATCAAGGCATGTTATTACGACGCATGATTAATATACTTTGTTGTCTCCCCTAGTTGACCCATTTCAGACAAATCTAGGTCACAACACAACAACATTGCCTTTCACAGGTATGGCTAACACACAATTCATCATTGAGACTTCCGTCTTATTGTTATGCGGAATAATAGTCTCTAACTTTTACTTGATTTACTTTATTCACTGTTAATTAATAGTATAGAATAGGTTTAACATAATACAGTTTACAATCTTTTGAAATAGTACACAATTTATATTACTGATACAAATTGTTTGATATTTATATATTACAGTTACAGACTGTATAATATTAATAAACTGTAAATTGATAATTTAATCTTAGCATCCTCTATAGCATGAGTAATCGTTCTCGTGCAGTTGACGATGACCTGTATGCCATCTCTCCCTCAAATTGTAGCTTTTAGCTGTGCTACCATAATCATTTCCTAGATTTCGTGTAACTTGTGTTACTTCATTTGTTTTAATATTCTCCTCTGTTTTCTGAACAACGTCAGTGGTTATCTTGCTTTGTGTATGTTGGTTTGGTTCATCAACCAACTCAATATAAATATTATGGCATTGCTTTGGCCTCTCATAATATGTGTTGCGTCGGTAACTTCCATTAGTATACCTATTCACACTTTTGTTATTCTGATTTGAAGTTGATACATTTCTTAAATTACTGTATTTCTCACATGACTTTCTGTGTACATAATTGTTTCTTCTCTGATTTGCCAACCTATGCCAACATTGATTTTGGTAATGACCTGTTTTTCCGCAGTAAAAACATCTAGATTTTGGCTTCTTATAAACATGGTGACTGTATTCATAGTTTGCTAAATTTCTTTTTCTTTCATTCTGTGCATTAATGACATTAATGACATTCTTATTAACATGTTGACTGTATTCATAATTTGCTAAATTTCTTTTACTTTCATTCTGTGCATTAATGACATTGTAGTTTCTAGTTACTGTTTCATCTTTCTTAACTTCCTTGTGCTTCTTTATTGATTCTAATTCACACATAAATTTCTGTGTTAATTTCTCCATTTCTTTGTTAAATTTATTCTTGAGTTCTAGGATATCTTCTTTAAAGTTTGACTCCAGATTTCTAAGTAACTCCTCAATAGGTACGTTCTCTTTATTGTGGCTTATTAAGTTCACTGATTCATTAATCATCATTAGTTTATCATGATTCCTGCCATTCTCCGATGGACTTATTAAATCATCACTGCCATTGACTGATGGGCTTATTAAATCATTTTGATTACTATTCTCTGATGGACTTATTTCTTTTTGACTGCCATTCTCTGATGGACTTACGATACAGCTTTCACTAATATTCTCGTGTACCTGCGTATCATTCAATAAAGAGTCAATCTTAAGACATTCTAATGTATCTGTCACCTTTAAATCATTATTAAGTTCACCCTCTGTTTTTTCCTTGGGTTTCAATTCTTCCTGGACTATGTTACTCTGTTCTTCATTCCAAAGGTTGCCAATATTTACTTCTTCAAGTTCTGCTTTAAATTCTATCTGTTCACTTTCTAATTTTGGTTCATTTGTGTCTGTTATAGCTTTCATTTCTAATAGTTCTTGTTCATATGCTAGTTCATGTAGGCCAACTTGTTTTTCCATAGTTTCAGCCCTTTTATCTGCTCTCTGTTTTCTGTTTCTTTTTTTCCGCTTTCCTTTTGGTTGTACAGTCTCTTCTACTTTATCTAATTCTGAAATGTCTTCTTCTTTATGCATGTCTGTAATAGCTCTTGATCTATTACACACTATTTCTATCATATCATCTAGTTCTCTCAATACATTTCCATGAGCTCGTCGGGGTTGTTCTGTTTCTTCGTCCCATGCTTCTTTTGCTTCTTCTATGTCTTTTTCAAGTCGATTGGTTGCCCAGGCTATCTGCTTATTCATCTTCTTAATGCCTTGCGCCCTCGCTAGTGCTAGATATTCTTCAAAACATGACATTTTGATATATTTTCTATGACATAAAATATAAATTCATTAGTTGACAATAGATAAATGTTAATTAATTTACAATACCCTTTCTTGTATTCTGGCTTTGTTCAGTTGATTAGAGACATCTAGTAATCCAAGAAAAGTTCATAGTACATATATAGTACAAGAATAGTTCACTTTGTTGATTCCAAAAAGTTGAAAAAATTCAAAATAGCTCTAGTAGCCTGTTACAGAGTAGAAATGTGTCCAGTTTTAGATAAGACATCTTTAGGAACAGTTTAGGAACAGTTACAAAAATAAACTTGATCTGCTAAATCCAAACAGTAGAAAAACTTGAACAGCTAATCCATATAGAAAAAAACTTGAACAGCTAAATCCAAACAGTAGAAAAGAAACACTAAGACTTGATCGGCTAAATCCA